TTTACCTCTAAGATCATCCAGTTCAGCCTTTTCCTGTGACAGATGAGGGGCGTGAAGAGACTGGGTTGGCCAGTCTAGTTAATAACTGAACCAACAGGACTCCTTGCTTCTAAGGCAGGCTTGGTAGAATTCAGGTTTCCATATTGCCTAATAGATGGGTAATATGTTTGGACACCCTCCCCTCCATCCCATATATACAGAAAATCTTCAATGCAGTTTGCAGCCTAAAATATGCAGGAGTGTGCACACACACAGACACATATATACAGAAAATCTTCAATGCAGTTTGCAGCCTAAAATATGCAGGAGTGTGCACACACAGAGACACACACACACACACACACACACGGATGGTGTGGGGATGGGAAGAGATTATGTTCAAGTCCTCATTTCCAGAAACTAGTTCCTACAATCAGAAGAAGGTTTGCCACAAAGACTGGGGAAGCCCTTTGTATTTACAATCTGGTCATTCTGGAGGGGTGAATGTAGGACTTCTCAGCTGGACACTAATAGCTGATTAATTCAGGACACTTATTTAATTTGTGACCAATATAGCTCTATTTTACAGAGAAAGGGCTATGTTGGCATGTGCAGAGCCACTCCCCAGATGGAATAATCTTTTCCTTAATAATTTTCTGCATGTTGCTTCTCATTTCTCTCAGTCGTTCCAAATGTGTTACGAATGACTACATGCTTTGGGTCCCAAATCCACTACTGCTGTCTCTTTGAAAGGAAAGAAAAAAAAAGTTGTTGACTGTAAACTGTAGTGAGCTTTCCTGTCCCACCTTTACGTTCTCACTTTTAAATCATCAGAGCGTTCTCCCAACACTAAGCCATGCTTCACCTGACAGCACCCGTTGTTCTTGGGTTTTTTAGGGAATGGAAACCTAGATGGTTTGAATGTTGTTTTCAGGGCCATGGAAAGAAGTAGTGTCTGGCTAGGATCAGAACTCACAGCTCCAAATTCTTAGGCTGTGCTATCTTCCTTTTACCCAGAAGAACACGTGGAAGGTTGATTGTTTAATCCTCTTAGTTCAATGATTCTCAAATTTGAGTGGGCACAGAATCACCTAGAGGGTTTGTTAAAACAGATTGCTGGGTCCTAGCCCCAGAACCTCTGATTCAGTAAGTCTAGGATGGGGCCTGAGAATCTGCATTTCTAAGTTCTCAGAGATGATGTTACTGCTGCTTGGAGATCACACTCTGAGAATCACTGCGTTAGTTCAACTAGAGGAGAGAATGGATATTGCCATCTCCAAGTAAACACTGCGTAGTATCTTTTGGAGATGTCTGCTGTTTAAGGGTTTATATTTGATGTCTTTTTCCTGTTTCCTTCCCTGACATGTACCAAATCCCAGTTTAGAAACTAATTTTTAAATGTTGGGGCTCAATGGAGAATGCAGCTCGGCTAAATAAATATGAATGCATACTGCAGTACTTGATATGTATTTTTCCAAATTGTGAGCACTTAGGCTAGACAAAAATATTTCCCCTGGGTTCAGCCATTCTATGCAGACCAGATCCTGGTTTCTAAGGAACAACTTGAAATAGAATATAGTACCAGAGTACAGTGCTGCAGAAGCATCCATATGCCCTTTTTAAATGTAGAACACACACCTCAAACTCAGTATTTCCACCAACACTTTTTGGTCATTTACAGGCTTTTAACATGTCCTGTCATTAACTACAGCATTTTGTGTGAGGATTTTTCAGGACACAAAGGCTTATTTTTCCAAAGGAAAGTATTTTTGTTTCACCGGATATAAAAAATAAGCAGCTTACCCTTAAATATGTAATGAAAGCAAAGGTCATATTTAGGGTGTGTTTTTGTTTCACCGGATATAAAAAATAAGCAGCTTACCCTTAAATATGTAATGAAAGCAAAGGCCATATTTAGGGTGTGTGTGTGTGTGTGTGTGTGCGGTGAGATTTAATTGAAAAACCAGCTTTTACGATTCCATGCTAGTGGCATTATCAAGCACACAGGATTATTGTTATTCAGAAAAGCAAATGCCAGGTTGGGGAGGTCCTGATCTGGTGGTTTGTGCCTAGTAAATAATGAGAGGGGTTGTGGTAAAGGCCTATGTAAATCCTACAGAGTGCCACACAAATGGGTCTTTTTCTTAATGAGATATATAATGCATAAGGTGACAATATTTTTCTGTTAATATGTAAACATATTCTTCAGGTAATTTACTGCATCTAATCACATATCAAAAAGGAGGCTGCATTTTTTTCTCCTACATAAAATTAGAATAATGGCCAGAATTGAGAGAATATATGAAGATACTTCGAAAGACTGTGGGAGAGGGGCAGGCGGGGTGTTTGTTAGCTGGAATATCCATAAATGCTGGCTGGTCTGGAGTGGCTTGCCACTTGTCACTGAGTTTGCCTCTTACCGGGGAAGTTCACCAACCACCACTTAGTTCAATGTAACCAACAAGAGTCAGATTTGCAGCCATTACTCCCACACCAAAACAACCAACATACCTTTAAAACAACAGTTAAAACCCACAGCTAAAAAACAATAGCCCACGTTCCGTCAAACACTAATTTTGCTGGTCAACACTCTGAGGTTGGATCAAATCCATGGATGATTCTTTCCAGGCAAAATCACTTTATCTACCTACATTTATGTATATATATATTGTTTCTTATCCCGATTATGAACATTCTTAACAGTGGCTTACCAAAATATGCAGCCGTTTCCATTTTAACTGACTTGTACAATAGGCTTAATGTTCGAACATGATGGAGACATGTGTTTTACTTGAAGCTTAAACCCTAAAGCTGCTGGGAGAGCTGGCTGAACTGAGGCAAGGCCTGAAGACTTCTGTTGCAGTTCAAAAGGTGTTTGACATTTTATCCAGAGTCTAGAACCACTTAAATGAATGAGGGACAATTAAACGCGGATCCATTCTAAGATTTAGTTCAGATTCTCACTCAGAACAGTGATATTATTCTTAAAATTAATACAGCTAATAAAAAGACTTCGTAGATACAGCTCATGACCACAGAGGCTTATCAGTATGGTGAAAAGCAACAGATTAAAGCAATCTGAGTTATTTCCAGGCATCTTAATGATTAAACAAGTTTAACTGCTTACCCAAGGAATACAGTACAAATTGGTTAAGTTGGTTAATTTAGTAGATGCCTCCTTTTTGCTGTTGTTTCTCTGACCTCATCGTCTAATGAAAATGTCCAATCATGTGTACCAAACTCTTTTAACCTCAACTAATTTGGATGTCATATTTAATTTTCATTTCTTTTTACAACTCTTTCAAAAATATTTTAGTCTTCCTTGGGGCTGGCCTGTGGCTCACTCGGGAGAGTGTGGTGCTGATAACACCAAGTCAAGGGTTAAGATCCCCTAACCGGTTATCTTTAAAAAAAAAAAA